TGTACTTTCAGTATCATACCTGAGTTAACTTTAATCTTTTTCTCCTCTTCTCAGCCCAGTTTGCATTTCTTTGCCTACATGTATGCTCTCATTCCCTAGCATTTCTTCACCCCAAGTTTGTGTGTTAAAACTTGTTGGTATGAATTTATTCTTTTCCTGGTTTTCTTCTATTACTTTTCTTTGGTTGAATTTTTTTTTAATTAACCAAAATATTCTTTGACAAAAACATTATTTTTATTCCCATGTTTTATTGCAACCATGTCTCTCCTTTTTCATGTCTTTTTCTGTTCTCAGTACTTATTCCTCAGTAAAGGAAAACATATTTCTTCTCTAAGCTTGTCTGGGGCTTGAAGAGAAGTTGGGCTGTTCCACATCCTCTGTCTTGAATACCCTTTCTGGCCCTGCTTGGAGAACTGTTACTCACCTTTCAGATCCAGCTCAGATATTGCCTCCTCTGTGAGGCCCTCAGGGCTAAAATTAGCCATTCTTTTCTCTTTGTTTCCATTCTTAGGGCCCTCTCTTACAGGCATCTTACAACCTCAGTGTAATTCATTGTTTTCATAGCCATCTTCCTTGCTAAGCAGTGTCCTTCCTCTTCAGTGTCAGGGAAATTCCTGATTTTCCTCTGTATCCCCAGCTTCAGCTCAGCCCCTCCATATCCTAGCTGCTCCATGAGTGGACCTGGGAGGTAGGGTAGATTCAGTGCTGTACTGAAGGGCTGTAGGAGAGCTCCCCTCCTACCCTTAGACATTCCTCTCTAAAAATGAATACCAGCCTGACCATGACTTTCTGGCCTCACCTCTCCCCCTACTCATGAGACTGGTAAATTTTTCCAATAGGTTCTTGAAACACAGAATGTTCAACCCCTTACACCTTTAAAGGGTGATTTGGAAATGGAGGCCCAGTCAGGCCTTGAGGGAATAGGGGTCCAGGATACATCAAGTTGATTGGGGCAGTTGTGTTTGGTTGTAGATGTGGGGAGTGTGGGAGGCTGGAGGGGTGGGGGTAAGTTGGGGGTCCACCCAGACAGGGAGTGAGGTGACCTAGGTCCAGTTGTACTATTGCTTCACATAAAGTTTGTTGAGACAGTTAAAGACATATGTCAAAGGAACACATTCTGGAAAGAGAATTGATAAGGAAGCAAATTAATATATGTAGAGTATTTCCCATTATTATATAATTAGTTTTTTGTTTGAACAGTTTTGTTTTCCTGTTTAAGTGAAAAAAAACCCAATCTTCTGATATAGAACATATAAAATGAATTATAAAACACAAAACAAGGGCTTCCCTGGTGGCGCAGTGGTTGAGAGTCCGCCTGCCGATGCAGGGGACCATGGGTTCGTGCCCCGGTCCGGGAAGATCCCACGTGCCACGGAGCGGCTGGGCCTGTGAGCCATCATGGCTGCTGAGCCTGCGTGTCCGGAGCCTGTGTTCCGCAACGGGAGAGGCCACAACAGTGAGAGGCCTGCATACAACAACAACAAAAAAACACAAAACAATATTTAATATTCCTTTAGAATAAAAATCTGTAAAGTATTCTTTAAAAAAAGAAAAGAAAATGAAGAATGTACTACTACCCCGCACCCCCATGCTTCTTTTATTTTTCTTTCGTGCTATTCCTTCTTAGCTCCTCTCTCGCTTTTACTGTCCCTCTTAGATTTACAAAAAAGAACATGTAACTCTTTAATAAGAGCCCCATGATATAAAAGAAACCATCTCCCACAAAATCCTCCAGTATCAGTAGTGCACGCCTGCTAATCCTGGTCCTGAGGAAGCTCATTCCGAGGGCGGTGTTACAAATTGAGGCAATATACACCCTCTTCTCCCTTCCTCTTCCTCTCAACCAGTTCAGGGAAAGGGCCTGGGATCAGAGAGAGAGAGGTGGGGGTGGAGAGGCAGAAACAAGACCCCAAAGACCCCAGATCATTTGTTGGAATGATCAAGGGGGAAGGTTTAGAAGGACACCCACCATCCAGTTAACACTGGAACCTTGGAGAGAGGGCTGGGGAAATGGGGAAAGAACATTAGCTTTTTAGCTCTCTCTTTGTATATTTTTTGTATTGTTTTACTTCTTGAAAAAACAAATAAAGGACCCTTAAATATAAAGAATATACAATAAAGGCTTGGTTTAAAATAAAAAGAAATAAGGCCCTGGGCATAATGGAGAAAGGAAAAGAAAGAGTAAAAGGGAGAAAAGATGAATGATAAGGTGCCTAAAGAGTAAAGATGGGGCTTCCCTGGTGGCACAGTGGTTGAGAGTCTGCCTGCCGATGCAGGGGACCATGGGTTTGTGCCCTGGTCCGGGAAGATCCCGCATGCCGCGGAGCAGCTGGGCCCGTGAGCCATGGCCGCTGAGCCTGTGCGTCCGGAGCCTGTGCTCCGCAACGGGAGAGGCCACAACAGTGAGGCCCGCGTACCGCAAAAAAAAAAAAAAAAAAAAGAGTAAAGATGACATTCCAAGTGTGAGACTATATATAAAACTATCACCTCCCCTTCCCTTATTATTATTTCTTAATAGTGAAAAAAGCTAGATTTTGTTATTGTTGTCATTTCTTTTTAATGGTGAAGACCTCAGTTGGGGTGGGAGGTGAACATAGGCGGGCAGTTGGGAAGGTTGGGGAGCAGGGAAGCACATCTACACCCTCTCTGCTCAAAGCCTGTCCTGGGAGTGGTTCCTGCTTCCTCAGGCTCAGCCAGGAGAGCTAGATGGGCTTGGTTGCCCTGCCAGGTGAAGGTGTGTTTCTAGGCGGGGCCCAGCAGGTGGCAGCACACCCCAGAGGCCCTGGGCTAGGTGGCTCCTGGCCCTCCTTAGCTCTGGAGGTGGGAGTAGAGTTAGGCACCTGCCCGCAGGCCCTCCCCTGGGGGTGCTGGCTGCTTGCCTCCGAAGCCCCTTATTTAGCACACTTTGGATAGAAGTGTTTATTGGTTCCCTCTGGGAAGCCTGGGAAGCCAGTCTTCTTAGCTACTGGTAGAGGTTCTGGTCTAGAGGCTCCTCCTCCCAGGAGGTTTGAGCAGTAGGTAAGGTGTGCAGGCAGAACTGAGAGCAAGGCCTCAGGAAGCAGAGGGTAGCTTCTGGGATTTTGTGCTCTGCCTTCCCTTATGTGTGTGGAATATATAAAAGAGAATGTTGGTGGCTATGTTTGCTTATTTTTGCTAATTTTTACTAATTTTTACTAATATAAGAAATAAAACATTTTCTTTTTAATACAGAGAGGTGCAAAGATAAAAACTAAAAAAGGACCATAGCCTTGCCACCAGGATAACCCCTGTTATCAATAAAAAAGATAATAAGTAAGACATGTTTAAGGTTTGAAAATTTGAACTACAGAAAAGTATAAAATGAGAAGTAAATGTTTCCTTCCCTTCCACTTTCAGCTTCTTTCCAAAGGAAACCACAAGTTTATGATTGCTTTGAGGAAAGAAGAGAAAACAAGGGCTGTGCACATGCCCGAGTGTCTCTAACTATTTACATTTCTTTTATTTTCTTATTTTCAACCCCAAAATGATCATTGTATATACTAAGCCTTGTTTTTTTCATGCACCATACCTTGAAGATATTTCTTTCTTTTTCTTAAGTTGAGGTATAATTGGCACATTTTGTACAACATAATGCTTTGCTATTTGTTACCATACATTGTTATGATTTTTTTTTCTTGTGATGAGGACTTGAAGATCTTTCTAGAAAGCACATACAGACTTCAGTCTATGGTAATTTTTTTAATGGGTCTCCATTGTTGGAGATTTTGGTTGGCTCCACTTAGGGACTAATATAAACTATGTTTTAGTGGACATCCTTGCATATTTATTTTGGCATGCTTCTACGAGTCCAAATTCCAGAGTAAGTCAAAGGGAAAGTACATTTTAAATTTTTTTGTTTTATGTTACAAGACAGCAATCTTTTATTGAAACAGTTTTGTCTAAAACTATGCATGGAGAGATTAATCTCTTGTTCATAAATTAGGATAAGTCTAACATCACTATTCCAAGCCAGTATTATTTACAAAAAAGAACCTTTGCTTTATCGCCAGGTTCACAGGACTAAATATGAAACCAACTTCAGTCTAGCTTTTAAAATCTTCCTGCCATCAAATGCCCAGCAAACCTTATTAGGGTAGGGGGCAGCCTTTTGATGGCAACATTCATCATTTACCAGGAATGCAGAACCACAACTGAGCAACAACAACAAAAGATTAAATCATTCCAAACAATTCCTATTTGCTCTCCAGAAGAACGCTTTGTCTAATTCTCCCCTTCTATACAGACAGGTGGGAGAGGAACCCCACAGAGAATCATAATGTTAATTAAATTAAACTCTTCAAAAAGTGAACAAGATCATTTAGTGTATATATGGATGAATTGCAGTCGATGACACTAGCAGATAATAAACTTAAACCCAGATTAACACACACCCCAACAGCTGACCAGCTCAAATAGTTACTTCTCATTTAATCTGGATCACCTGTGCAATTTTTTATTCTCTAGTTAAATACATTGCCAAAACCTTTCAAAGCATATAGGGGGCAGGCTTCTTAGAAATTCAAACAAATATTAAATAATAAAAATTGCTGGCTTATTACACAGTTTCTGACAGACTCCAGTATGCTGGGTGACAGAAAGTAATTCTATCTCTCTGCTAGTAAAAAGGTAAATCTTGTATGTACATAGAAAGACAATATTACAAGACTATAGTGTTACCTACCAAAACAAGAATATCTAGAATGTAATTTTCAGTAAACACTTGGGATGAAGGGCAATCAAAATATAAGAGAAAGCAAAATCCACATAAATCAATTCTTAATTTGAGAAATCAATAAAATGTATACATAAATTGATAAATACTGTCTCCACAGGTCACGAATTCCAAGGACTAGTTAGTAGTTAGTTTCTAACTAAATTATTACAGGACATTCTGGTGTATTCTGTCTTCTTGTGATCAGTTTGTTCTGGCAAGACTCCAGCAAGCACTTGCCCTTGAAAACAGCTCAGCAGGAGAAGGCTCGGAGGCAATCACTTCATTTATTAACTAGCCACAAAATAAGTCCCAAGATTACAATAATCACTGACAGGACAAGCACCAGGATACAGATCTTCTTGCGAGATTTTTTCTGATAGTAAGCAGCTCGCTGTAACTGATCAGTGGCTCTTTCTACATGCACCTCTGAGCTTTCCACATTGGCTTCTATGCTGTCAATGAGATCACCTTGGTCATGGATCATCATTGCCAAATCTTTAAATATCTGATTGACATCCAAAATATCAGCCTCCAGCTGCTGAATTGCCGTTTCCCTCTCTTTAATAAGTTCCAAATCCTGTTCAGTGATGGCCACCTCATCCTCCTGGCTCTGCATCTGGTTCCACTCCTCATGGCTGTCACATGAGACGAGTTGCTCCTCTCTTTGCCTCTCCTCCACAGAAAGACGAGATCCAGCTCTTGCTCTGGCAATACTCTCCTTTTCCTTTTCAGATACCCTTCTCTGCACAGCCTGGAAATTGTTTAAGGCTGCAGAGAAGTCATTCATGAGACGTTCCTTCTGAAGTTTCTGCTGGCGCTGTTCTGAAGTAGATAAAGGAAGGGGCAAGGACCCTAATTCCTTCAGTAATTCATTTGTTTCCTTGGCAAGCTGATTTGTAGAGTGCTGTAACTGTTGCAGATTTTCCTGTAGCTTGCTTGAATCTTGCTTAGTTCTTAGTTGGCTCATCAAATTCTTTATCTGAGCAGCTTACAAAAACATAGATGTGTTAATAGCCTCTAAGTCTGTTAAGAAACAATAATTAAGCAAAATCTTCCAGGTGATTGCTGAGTGACTCTTCTCCTAAGTAGAAACTGAACAACTTAGTCCTTAGCAGCATGTACAAGTTATTTCTCTGGCTTCGCTGATCCGCTGGATGTTGCCGCTGCACTTCTGGATGATGCTGTTGAAGTCCTGGAGCGGGGTCCCCGAGGCCCCCGGGTTCCGGTACATATCTAAGGGACCGTAGGACATGACGAGGAGCCGAGACCGACCACATTTTAAATTTTGATGGCTATATTTCCCTCCAGGGCAAAAGGTTGCCCTGGTTTACATTACATTACACCATGAGTGTGTGAGAGTGCCTGTTTCCGGGTGGCTATAGGGATATCTGCCCCCCGCCAGGAGCCCTCTGACATCCACAGTGGTAAGACTGGGTGCTCAGCGGAAGCAGGCCCAGCCCCTCTGCTGCAGGGCAGTGGTCAGCTCCCTCCACGGCCTTTGCCCCCACTGCAGGTCTCCTCTGTGGTTGTGAGGTGACGGTTTCAGTGTGGCAGCCTTTCTTTTAGCGATGGAGAACACTCCCTGGATTTCCCTTATCACTTTAACAATGTTTTCCTTTCCGTCCTGGGGTGAGAGAGTAAATAACCAAATCTTGACTCTTCCAGATAAAGAAGGCATATAGGCAGAAGGCCCTCTCCTGCCACCCAGACAAAAATCCGGATAATCCCAGAGCAGGTGAGCCTCTCCTAGGCATGGGGAGAAGGAGGCCAACCCACCTGGGTGTGGTGTGAGTGCCGTGGGAGGCCAACGCACACAGCCTGGCTTTGGGCGCTGGGCCCCAAGGCTGCACTTCGCATGTTAGGAGCATCTGGTCGATTGCTGATGCACTCACTCTTCCTTGCTAGTCCATCATCTGCTGATGTCTGCTTTTCTAGCAGCCTGTGGCTTCTTTGAGGTGCTCTCTGGAGCGAGTACACCATCATCAAGTCTAACTTTACTTTTCTCCTCTCTCTTTTTTGATCCCTATGTTTAGCTGAACTCTTCCATCAGCTTTCTCAGGCCTTGGAGGTACTGACCGATGCTGCCGCCAGGGTAAGCTCATCCTTCTCTATCTAAATTACTCCACATTTATAGACCACTGTGTGCTTCATCCTCTATACTTGGCCATGCATCACAGTCCTTGCTGTCCTAGCCTGGAGACCCTGTCACCAGACTGCCTCCTGATGGCTCTAGGGCTAGCGGCAGGGCCGGGGAGGTGGCTGGGCTCTGTGTGTGTTCCCTGGCTGACTGCTCCTCTGTGTTCCTTTCTTCTGCCAGGCTGCATATGACAAGGTCAGGAAAGCCAAGAAGCAGGCAGCAGAGAGGACCCAGAAACTTGATGAGAGAAGGAAGAAAGTGAAGCTTGGTAGGTGACATCGTGGTGCTGGTAGCCTGCAGTTTCCCTGGACCGCTTTCCTGCAGCTCCCCCACCTTTCCTCCTGCAGCTTCAGTTCCAGCAACTCAGAGCTTGGCGGCCCCGGCTCTGGGCAGAACCCTGTTCTCAGGGGTGGCTCCTAAAGGACAGTCATAGGAATAATAACAGTGACTAGGTGTGCTATTAGCTAAGTGCTGTGACAGATGTTTTAGTGCCTCCTTTAATTATTACAACTGTCCAAGGAGCTGGGTGTTATGAAACCCACTTTTTATAGACAAAAGAGGCTAAGGCACCAAAAGGATAAGAACTTGCTGGAGCCAGGATTTGAACCCACACAGCATGAGTACCGTCAGCGTTCTTGTTGGCCACGCCGTCCTGGATCTTCTTCATTCGTCCCAGCTCTGCACAGAGCTTTCACTCCGTGAAATCCTCTCAGAAGAATCCAAAGAGATCCAGGCGTTTGTCTTTTAAGAAACAGCTTTATTGACATATATTTTGTATATCATATCGTCCACCCATTTCAAGTGAACAATTCAGTGATTTTTAGTAAATTTACCAAATGGTGCAACTATGACTCTAAATCAATTTTAGAACATTTTCATCACCCCCATAAGATTGGTCCAAGCATGCTTTACTCGATTTTTCTCCCCTTCCTCTTGCCTGCTTCACATCCATATATTTATTATGTACATATACCATCCCAGTACATCCATCAAAAACAAACAAACCTGAAGAGTTTAGGTAAATAAAGTGAACAGAAAACAAAGTGGTGTGTCCCAGACCTGAAAGAAGCATTTGTCACAGCAGCTGGCCTGGGACAGGGCCACAAGCAGGTTTCTCTTGGAAGGTGGGAAGGCTCCAGGACCTGGGGTGATGTCCTTGCATGGTGGCTGCCATCCCTGTAGGAGCCGTTGTAGCCGGGTCCACAGTGAGGCTTGGTAAATGTGAGTTGAGGGGGGAGGTAGAAGATTCCACTGTGAGACTTCCCTGGTGGTGCGGTGGTTAAGAATCCGTCTGCCAATGCAGGGGACACGGGTTCAATCCCTAGTGCACATGCCGTGGAGCAACAAAGCCCGTGCGTCACAACTACTGAGCCTGCGCTCTAGAGCCCGCAAGCCACAACTACTGAAGCCCACACGCCTAGAGCCCGTGCTCCGCAACATGAGAAGCCACCGCAATGAGAAGCCCGCGCACTGCAACGAAGAGTAGCCCCTGCTCGCCACAACTAGAGAAAGCCTGCGCGCAGCAATGAAGACCCAATGCAGCCAAAAAAAAAAAAAGATTCTGTGGGAACTCAAGCTCAGTGGTGGGAAGAGCATCAAAGCCATGGCAAGGTCACAGGTCAGGCTGTGGTGCCAAACCACAGGAACAGAGGCCAGGAGCTCCACCCACTGGCAGCCCTGACCCGTGGCCCTGGGCTGCTGACATAAGCACCCACCCACACCTTGTTCACTGTTTGGAGAACCAGCTTGGTCAGCGTGAGCTGCTTTAACTTTTCCAGACCCCAGCCACTCAGCTGGATCCTATTCTCTTCCTTGTTAGGACTTTTCTCAATGGAAATTAATTTGGGAGCACATGGGGATTGAGGGAGGGGCCAGAGTTACTGTATAGGTTCATGCTGTGTGAGACTTTGGGGAAGCAGCCAGAGCCTGGTAGGCTGGGGCCATGTAGAAACTGCTTAGACCAGACATTGGGTCATTCAACCCTTGTTCGTAGACCTGGAGGCCCGGGAGCGGCAGGCCCAGGCCCACGGCAGCGACGAGGAGGAGGAGGAGGAGAGCCGGAGCACTGGAACACTAGAGCAAGAGGTGAGCGTCCAGGCACTGCAGCCATCTGAGGGGGAGGAGGCTGGTGGAGCAAAGGGGTTGCTGTGGCTGGAGAGGGCATGCCATTTCCACTTTCTTCTGTGGGATCTGGGTGATCTGTCCCACCTGCAGGTTGCTGAGCCTAGCTTGCAGGTGGAATGTCCCAGGGACCTTTGCAAGGTGAGCCAACCTGGAACTGGATCTGCACAGAACTGTCACCCTCCCCAACTCCCACTCTACAGATCAAACGCCTGCGAGAAGAGGGTTCCCGGCAGCTGGAGGAGCAGCAGAGGGTGATCCAGGAGCAGATACGCCAGGAACGGGAACAGAGGTTGAGAGGTGAGAGTCCGTCCCCCAAACCTGCCTCCCACTCTGAGGCAGCTCTTGATGCCCAGAGTGGCCACAGTGGCTGCTCAGGGAAGTTGTTCTGGAAGCTTCCACCTGCTGGAACCCCCTGGGCACCCCACTTGGACACATGCCACCTGTCTCTTCTTACCAGTTCTCTGAGGCCTATTGGATTTTCACTCTACCTGCGATCTCCTGGCCCCATTTATCTTAGTCCCAAGCAGAGCTGGCTCTATTTTGGAGCAGATCACCAGGGCGGGGCAGGGAAGGCTCTGGGGTACTTTGTTTCAGTAGAATTGTGTGGTCTATACCTCTACCTTCTGCCCCCCGTAGGTGTTCATAGCCCTTCGTTGGCAGAGTGCTGACCATGGCCTTCAGCAGGCAGCTGGGCAGCTGTCCCAAGGTGACAGCTCCTCAGGGTTGGGGTGGGATTGCCTCTACTTGCCCTACCAGGCTCCACAGCAGGGTGGGGCAAATACTGCCCTTGGTCAGGAGTGATCTTTTCTAGGTCCTTTGGCCCTGGGCTGTGTCTCCTTTGGGAAAGAGAACCTCTGATTCCATCATATTCTACCTTGCTAATTTTCCTAAATTTTCTAGGAATGGCAGAAAATCCTGAAAGCAAAGGAACCCCCAAGCTAAAGGTGAGCTCTGCGGATCTACGGGCCACCTCACACCATCTCCTCTCAGCAGAACAGATGCTTCCATGGGCACAGGTGCTTCTGGCGGGGACGCTGGATCTCTGGGAGCCACACCACTACCCACATCCCATCCTTCCATCTTCCCACTGCCTGGGCATCAGGATGGCCTCTCAGAGCTGGCCGTGAAAGGCTGCAGGGCAGCCCTCCCTGAGGCCCTCGAAGGAGAGCATCTTACAGGGCTGGAAGCGTAGCTGTGGATGAGCAGGCCACCTGCCTGTTTTCAAGGGGAATGCATTTTGGGGGGTGCTCCTTAGATTACCAGTACTTTGAAGGGGGTTGTCTGCTCAGACTGTAAAGCTCACGTGCAGGGTCTGGTTCTGTTGAGAAGTCAGTGTTCAATGGTGACACCCACTGCTATCTTTTCAGCTCAAGTGGAAGAGCAAGTCACAAGGCGGCTATTCCAGAGATGTCCTCCTGCGGCTTTTTCAAAAGGTCTGCCCTGCTGACTTCCCCCTAACCCATCATCTCAGGCCCCACCTCAGCCCAAACCCCAGGATCTCCAGGCCTAACCTTCCTTCCCATCTCTACCTGCCTTTTTTTTCTGTGTCATGGACCTTCTCCCCAGGCCACGGCCTTCCAGTCACTCATGTTGCCATGTGCCCCTTCCCTTGCCATCCTTAGAAGCAAAGGGCTTGGCTGCATTTTTGGGGCGAGAGGAGGCTATTGTCTGGCACCAAAGCCCCATCCTCTTCACCTCCTTCAGTTGCTGAGGCAGCTGTGCGTCTCTGCTTGTCTAAATTCCCACGTCTGCCAAGCTCTCCTTTGCTGTCCTCTGCATTCCCGAGGGGCGGGGGAACCTTTCTTTCCCATCTCTGATATCCCCTTTCTGGTTGAACCTAGCAATGAGAGGTTATACCCCAGCTAAAAATGGCCTAGTGGCCTCTGGGTGGCTCAGGCTTGTCTCTGGTGTGAGCTGGGCCATCCTGAAGGCTGAGCCACGCTTACCAGGACCCCCTTATCCTCACAGTACGGAGAGGTGCTCAACCTGGTACTGTCCAGTAAGAAGGCAGGCACCGCCGTGGTGGAGTTTGCAACCATCAAGGCTGCGGTGAGTGCTATGTGGGGCTTTGGGGGCTACCGACAGCCCTGCCTTTCCAGGGGAGGAATCCAGTTCTGTAGGCCCTCTGAGCTTAGGTGTCCACAGTCCCCAGGGATCTCTGGGCCAGCTCAGAGCCAAGATTTCCCAGAGCCCCTCCAGCTCCCAGGAGTAGAGGCACAGCGAGTGAAGGGATGGACAGGAGAATATTCCGGGGATGGCTTCATTTCCTGCTGCCTGGCTCCACACCCTCCACCTTCCCCTGGAAGCCAGCACGCCTCCAGGTTGGAGCCCTCGCACTGCCTTCTCCCCTTCCCCCACTCCCCAGTCAGAAAGCTCACGTGGCGCACAAGGAAGGTCAGAGCTTCAGCACACCATTGTATGAAGTTTGCTGTGCTTTGCTTGGAGGATGAGAGCGCTGGTTCTGGTTCTTTCTGTGGGGGTAGCGAGAGCTACTTTGTAGCCGACTGGAGTGATGGGACCAGGACCGGATGCTGTATTTGACAGGAGCTGGCTGTCCAGAATGAAGTGGGCCTAGTCGATAACCCTCTGAAGATTTCCTGGTTGGAGGGACGGCCCCAGAGCACAATGGGCCCTAACCACCCAGGACTGTCCCAGGTAAGGAGCCAGGCCTCACACAGCTGGGCCTGCTCAGGCTTCGGGGCATCTCTTCCTGTTTGGGCTCTTCTCAGGGCCCTTTCCTCGCATATCCCAGTCATCAGGAATATGGAGAGATTGGCAGGTCCGCCAATCCAAGCAGGAGGACTGTGATTCCTTGCTGATCCCCTTTCCTCTCTGAGTGCCAGCGGGGCCCACCCTATGTAGACCTCTTAGACCTTATTTTCCATGTTCTGGTCCCCTTTGGGGTCTCTCATCATCACCCAAAGGCATTGTCCTGGCCTGCGGGTCGCTTGGTTGCAGTGTGAAGCATTTGGCGCTGAGATGACCTGGTGCTTCAGGGAAGGGGCCGGTGATGAGGGTGGCTGCTTCCTTCCCCAACTTCCTTCCAGGTGTGTCCATGGCTGTCCCAGATGGGGACCTAATGTCAAGAGGCAATATCTCCTCTTTAGAAATAACACTGGCTACCCTGCCGACACTGAAGTGCTGCCTGGTGCCCGACTTGTGGTAAAGCATGCACTTGAGCTGACACACGCCCAACACCGGCTCTTAGTCCTCGCAGCTCCACGAAGGCTTCTGTTCCGCTCCACGGGTCAGCAAGGGCTCCACTCCCATTGCCTCAGGCACCCCGCCACCACGCCCCTCACCTGGCCGTGAGGATGGGGAGCTCTCTAGAGTGTGTCCCAGACCCTGGACAGAGGAGGCAAAGGACCTGGTCTGAGCTTGACTTGGGATCCTTCTTTAGAGACTGTTTCCCCACGGTTAAGGCCCAGCATTTCAGAGCCCCAGACGGCACTCCATAGGCTGTGTTACAAAGAGCTCTCTTTATCACCATCCCACGGGGGCTTTCAGTTCAGCACAGCCACACAAGAGGAGGGAAGGGGGAGGCCACAGGTTTGGGTTGTGGAGGTGCTGTGTGTCCAGGCTTCCCTTCCCCCTCTGCCACACCTGGAAAGGCCTGGGGTGTCAGAAGCTCATGCGGCCAACTGGGCTCTGCTCCAAGTCTTCTGGCCAGGCCTCAGGGTGGGGTCGTAGCCCCGTTGTCAGAGGTTTTGAGCAAAGCAAAGTTCCTCAGTCCTGGTGAGGATTCTGGAGACCAGCTTGCCTCTTCATTGTAACAGCTCTGAGCTTCGTGTCTGTCCCTGATCCAGTCCTCCCTCCCATATTCTCATGGGCGCAGGAAGGAGGGAAACCTGCCACTGTTTTTTGTTGCATTTCCCAAGGGTCTCGTCACTAATAATTCTGGGAATTCCCCACAGCCCCCTTTCGCAAGCTGTCTGTGCCTGGCATTCCCCAGAGCCTCCCTCCTTGGGCACCAGGGAGTGCTTGTGCTCCGGGCAGCTGTACTGGCACTTTGAGTCTCTCATGCCCCCTTTTCCGCTAGTGATTTGTTTGGCGTTTTTCCAGAGTTACACGTGTATCTCTACCTGCCTCACTCTTCCTACTCTGTCAGCCCCTCCCTTCCCTTGCAGGCCCCATATGCTTCCCCCTTCCCCCCACCAGGCCCCAGGCCATGGTCTAGGCCTGTGCTGCCCAGTAGAACTTTCTCCAGTGATGTTAACGTTCACTCTGCATTGTCCAGTGTGGTAGCCGTTAGTCATATGTGGCTGTCGAGCACCTGAAACGTGGCTAGTGTGACTGAGGGCTGAATTTTTAATTGTATTTAATTTCAGTTAAACAGCCACGTGCAGCTAGTGGCTACCATACTGTACAAGGTCACGCCTGTTTCATCCCTCTCCCCTTAGGTCTCCCACTTTCCTCTCCAGCCTGGATTGGACCACTTTTGCCCAGACCTGTCCTGTAACCTCGTTCTGTTGACAGTGGCTTCAGAGGGAGCTGGCGCAGGGCACCCATCTGTCGTGCCCAGTCTGCACGTCCTCCGCTCCTGGACTCACCCCTTATGCCTCCCTCCCTCTCTGCTGGCCTCTGCCTGGTCCCTGTGGTTGCAGGTGTGGCCTTCCTTTCCCAGCCTAGCTAGCTGCCTTCAGGGCTCCTGCCAGCAGGTGTCCCCCTCACATTTCCAGCTTGCCTCTGTACCTCTGTCCCTCCACTCTGGGGTGACTCAGAGAACTGTTCAGGACCCAGAGGGAAGGCAGGGACCTGGATTCCTATCCCTACCTTAATCCACGACTGTCCCTTCCTTCTCTGGGTCCCCAGACTTCTGGCTCTTTCACCCACCTCTGGCCACCCTCCCCCCATTCAGAAGCTGGGCTCACTGGGAAATTGCTCCCTCAGCATCTGTAGAACTTCCTCAAGAAGTGAAATCCCTAGGTCAACTTTGAAGGAGAAGAAGGGATCGCTGAGGTCTGGAGCAGGTGTCCTCTGGAAGGGGGGCGTGTCCGAAAGGTCCTCGTCAGAGTATTGGTAGAGGGCGTCCGCCACGGAGAGCGCGGAGGGCAGGGTGGCAGAGTAGGTTGCAGTGTAGGTGGACGGGGACTCCAGGATGTTGGGGCAGCTGGAGCTTTCTCGGTAGAGGCGCGGGGGTTTGGGCGGGGCCAGCAGGGTGGCCCGGGGCTGCTCGTCCCCCCACAGTGGCAGGCGCCGGCCATCTGGCCTCCCTCGCAGCTCCCGGACGACCTCCCGGTTGCTGTACTCCTCGTGGTCCCCTCCAGCCGTGCTGGCCTGGCTGAGCACGCTGCCCTGTCGCCGCAGTCTCCGCGGCCGCCGCAGGCTCAGCCGCTTGAAGAAGGAGGCGCTGCGGAAGGAGCCTTTCCGCCAGATCTCCATGGGGCCCCAGGGAGCCAGCAGACAAGCCTGGTACCTCAGAAGCCCGGTTCAAGGGCAGCTGGGGGCCATCTGGTCCCGCTGGAGCAGTGAACGGCGAGAATCAGGGAGGCAGCCTTCGCTGGCAGAAGCAGAGGCCTCCGGGTTTCTGCTCAGCAGGGACCTGCGTACGCGAGTCCAGGAGAGCCGAAAAAGCTGAGCGTTCCTGGCGACGGGAGTTTCCCAGAGGGACAGGAGTGGCCTGGTTACTTGATAGGGCAGTGGAAAAACCCCAGGAGGAAGAAACAGCACTCCACTCCGTGGAGCCGGAGCTAGGGCAGCTGCTGCGTGACCCGGGGTGGCTCCTGGCCCTGCGGGGGCTGGCCTCTCCGCCGCTGGCTCCCAGACTGATTAGTGGCTTGGCTGTTTGTGCCAGTGTGTGGCGGTGGAGACGTGTTGTTGTCTTCGGCTGACTCAGTCAGGTGGGAGGCTGGTCTCGTGCTCTGAGGTAATTGCAGCTTCCGCAGGCAGGGATTGGGGCAGCGGCAACGCCCCGGGGCACCGGGGAGCCTAACATTCCTCTGGGGACCGTCTGGGGCAGCCCTGCCTTGTGTGTCACCACGCTGCCACCTCTTCCTCCACAGCCCAACGCCCTGCGCCCTTGCGGGCAGGCCTGGCCCCCCAGCCCCCGTGGGTGTGGGGTGAGGAGCTCCGGGAGGTGGGAGCTAATTGAAAGGCAGGCGTGTGGAACGACTGCTGGGGAAGGAAGAGGCCTGCCGCTGGTGTGAGTGACTGGCCCTCATTAGCAGAGCCTGCAGGGATGGGGGGAAGGAAGGAGGCAGAGGGTGTGTTAACGGGGCCCTGTGCCTATAAAGGGCTGGCTCCTCCCAGGGCCAGGTTCGGGGCGTGCTGAGGGTGACTTCAAGTTTTCTCAGCAGAGCAGCATTACCTTGGGCGGGGGGAGAATTGCCCTCCCCTTGGCCTGACAGCAAGCCTGGCTGCTCCCATTTCCTCAGCCTTCCTGGATTTTCCCAGATAGCCTCAGGGCAGGAAAGGACATTTGAGAGCCAGTGTCCTGCCTTCCTGTGGGGCTGCCTGGGCCTCATTTGGGGTCCTGCCTCTGGGGAAGGGGCTGGGTCAAGGCTAGGAGGTGGGCCTGGCTGGGAGGGCAATTCTCCTAGGAACTGCGGAGGCCTGGGAGGAGGCGTGGGGCTGTCGGGAAGGGCAGGGGGATCTGGGCTGGGTAACACTTCCTGGTTCTGTACACCCCTGACTCCAAACCAGTTGGCCAGGGCCTGGCATCTTAACCCCAGCCACTCCCTTCTAATTCCCCGGGTCACTGACCACCGAACTTTTTTCCTGTCCTGTTCCACGAAGGCGCATCAGCTTGGGGTACTGCGAAGCAGGCCTCAGCAGCTCTACTGTGCAGCCCCCCTGGCCTGGCTCCCTTCTGTGCCAACTCTGGTGGGCTTCATACTTCTTCATGCAGCTTCAGCTGCACAGAGGGAGGAAATGATTTAAGTGCCACTGCAGACCTTATCAGGGCATGGCGTTGGCGGCTCAGGGCTCTCCTGTAGAGCTGCCTCTCCACCCCACAGCCTTGGCCCACTGAGGTGGTCATTTATTATTTTGATTATGAAAATATTGCACCGTTCAGTCCCCCTCACTGTGCGGGCAAGATCATAAAAGAAAAAGCCACGGGCCCTGCCCTCCAGGAGCCCTAGTGTGTATTTTTAGGAGGCAAGCTGGCCTCATGCTTGTTTCTCTCTCCTTCTAGGGTGGGGCTGAGTGAGGCTGTGTGTAGGGTAGGGCTCCCTGTGCATCCTCAGCAGGAGCCAGACCACAGGGAGGGTGGGCAGCTGGGAGGGGTCAATGCTCTCACCTCCACCTGGCAGAGTGGAGTGTATTTCTGTGCCTCTGACAACCCCCCTTCACTGGTAACTTGTGAGAAGCAGAAGCCATGGGGTGGAGGAAATGAAGGGATGAGGGCCTGGCTAGAGCATGAGGAAGTGATTCACCTGGCTAGAGCATGAGGAAGTGATTCACCTGATTCACCTGAGCATGAGGAAGGGCCTGGGAAAGGGGAGGTGGGGCGGGGTGATAGCTGCTTGAGATGGGCTGAAGGGGAGCCAGCTGAGAAGCTGGCCTGGGGCCAAAGGCCTGCTTGCTCTGAAGGGACATGGGTGAGTTGGGATTGCAGGATGTTCCAGGGTCCTTCCCTTCCTGGGCATCCTCCCTCCTCGACTCTTGGCGGCGGCTCTGCCTAGGCCCTGTCCTCCGAGTCTGGAATCCGTGGGGCTGTGCCCCGCCGCCCTGACGCCTCCGTGTCCTCCCTCTGTCCCCCCAGGGTTCTGTGCGGTCTGAGAGGGACTATGAGAGCCTCGTCATGATGCGTATGCGCCAGGCAGCTGAGAGGCAGCAGCTGATCGCCCAGATGCAGCAGGAGGACCAGGCTGGGCAGCCCACGTAGCCTCCTGCCTCCAGCCCTCCCATCCCACAGCCCTTTTCTTAAACGTCACCAATAAACTTTTTTTTTTTTTTTTTTTTTTAAGAGTCTACCTCTATTGCATACATAGGTGTAGGGTGTGGGCCTGCCCAAGCATGACCCTGGTTTCTGGGTTCTGCCTCGGAGGGCTCCACCCAGGCCTGGCTCTCCCTCCCAGGGAGGCGCTCCACACGGTGAGAGTCAGTGGCCAGCAGAGCAGAGGAGCAGCCACTCATCACAGCCCTTTACTGGCTTGGACTAGCTACGCAGGACCCACACGCCCAGTCCTGGAGCCATGCTCCGCGGGGGCACCCAGATCCCTGCCAGGGGCAGCCTGGCTCTTGCCAGCTCCTCAGCCTGCCACAGAACACGGCCTCCTCCAGGGCCCGTGCCAGGCCTGAAGCTGGAGGGGCAGCTGGGGGCACCAGGGCCAGGGGCCCTGCCCCCCCACTGGCTGAGGCAGGTTTCGGAGAAGGCCGTTCATTGCCCAGTGGTGCTGGGCCGAGGAAAATGACGACTTGGGAAGAATGGGCAGGGCGGTGAGTGAGGCAGGGTCCTGGGGTCGGGGCCCATGGCAACCACTCCAGAGAAGGGGTGACTGCAGCTCCTCAGCGTGGGAGGGTCACTCCTTGTGCAGGCACCACACCAACGTCTGGCCCACCCCTGTCATGCTCAGCACACGGAAGCCTCTGCGCTCCAGCTTGTCAAGGACTATTCGAGGAGGGTCATTGACGTAGTACTCACAACTGCGAAGAGAAGGAGGGTGGCGTGAGGGAGTACACAGCACAGCCCTGCGTACCAAGCTAGTATCTGCTGCAGACTAGGCCTGGTCAGGAGTACTCCTAACAGGGACTGACGTTTGCTGGGTGACTTCTGGGTGCCAGGCTGAGTACACATTCCCTGCCCCTCATCTACTAAGCTCTTTGCATCATCTCATTTATTCCTCCCAACAACCTAAGGAAGGTACTGTTATTGTTCCCATTTTATAAGTGAGAAAAGAGAGGAGTAAAGCAGTTTTCCCAATGTCATCCAGAGAGTAGAACCGGCATGAGTCTGACAACAGCTCCATGTGCCCTGGGCCACTGCCCATTCAGCAGGAGCGGCCTGCTCTCCCTGGGACCCTCCCCCAGGCCTCTGCCCTCTTGCTGCCTGGCTGTCCTGTAGTGGTGGAGCAATAAGTTTGGCCCCCAAGAGCTCCTGGCTCTGAGTGCCACTGCCTAGGATGGAGAATGCCTGGTTTCCCTTCTTTCAGGGTTAATTGATTCTGAAGGGCCATCAAGTAGATAAAGGGCTGAAGCCCCAGGCTGGGCATCTGAGAGACAAAAGCCTTATGGCAAAGGGATGGCATGGTGTTGGCTTCTGCCCTCCAACCCTGACCAGGGGGCTACAGCCAGCTCGCCTCCTCTTTCCCTTCTTCTAACTGGGGTGCACTCTGGTGACCCTTCTCAGGAGTTTGAGCCTGTGTAGCCAGAGTTCTCCCTGCCTATGGCAGGAAGGGGTGAAGGGCAGAAAAGGAAGCATGAATCACTTTAGACTTGGGGCTGGTGTGAAGGATGCCAAGGGAAGTGGCTAAGTCCCCAGGCAGCAGCTGAACTGGAAGCAGGACCCAGGCTCCCTTCTCCCTGTTTCTAGGGCTGAGCTTTGTTACTTAGCCATCTCTTCAAGACAGAAGCCTTTCTCTGTGCTTGTCTTTGCCTTGATCGGATCCAGTTTAGAGATGAAAGGGCAGGGCAAGGAGCAGTCCACTTGCAGAGTCCTATACTCAGGGAACCAGACTCTGTCCTGGGACTTTGTCCAGGGGCTCCCTTGTGAAGGGAGGGCCAGTGGGAAAGCTCTCAGAGAAAGCCTACAGAGGACAGATCCCCAGGATGCAGGCAGAGGGGTCCTGAGGCTAGGCAGTGGCATTGTCCTGTTGTGTAAAAGGAACAGAGACAAGTCTAGGGGCTGGCAAGGAGAAGATCCTTAGGAATGCTACTACTTACAAATTGTTTCCCAGGACGCTTCTTTTTGAGGCCCCCAGATGCCGCATCAGTTCTGGATCGGAGTGCTCATCGCCCACCATGGTGGGGCCCACCTCCTGCAAGGTAAGTCACAGCGGCTGCTTGGCTGGCTGCCAGGCAGAGGTGAGCTGTCTCGCCTCTCCTTCCTCCCCCGCCTGCTGGCTCTGAGCCCGCTTCAGTTAAAGACTGGAGGGAGAGGAAAGGAATCTTGGGCGCTAAACACAAGCTGGGAAGGGGTGGAGTCCATCAGTGATCAGGCTGAGCCATGCGGGGCCTCCCTGCACCCTCTAGGCCGGGCTGGGCAATGCCCAACTACTGGCACCTTCACGCCAGGCACCACCACCTATATCTGTGTGTCAGAATAGGCTGGAGAACAGAGAAATGAGAACATGTCCACACAAAAACTTGCGCACGAATGTTCACAGTAGCGTTATTCATAATAACCAGAAAGTGGAAACAACCTAAATGTTTGTCAACTGATCAGAGGATAAATAAAATGTGGTATAGCCATTCAATGGAATTTTATTTGACAATAAAAAGGAACAAGTATCGATGTGTGCTACAATATGGATGAACCTTGAAAACATCACGTAAGTGAAAGAGGCCAAAGACCACATATTACAACGAAAAGTAGACGGGTGGTTACCTAGGGCTGAGGGGCCCGGGGGAAATGAGTGACTGCTAGGGACAGGGTATGGGTACAGGGTTTCTTTGTAAGGTGATAGAAATGTTCTAAAATTGCCTATGGTGATGGATGCACAACTCTGAGCAAGCTAAAAAACAAAAACCCCATCACCATTGAATTGTACACTTTGGTGAATTCTGTCGTGATATGTATAATATATCAATGAAACTTATTTTTTTAAGTTGCTTGAGGAGCACTGAATTCCCAAGCCCCAGGCTTCCAGAGTGCTTCCGGAGGTCTGGGAAGGGGTCCAGGAGTCTACATTTTAACAACTGCACAGCTGACTGGTTCTTAAACCACTGCCCTGTGGCACTGCCGAGACCTCTCCTGCCCAGTGGTGAGCCCATCTGTTATTTCCTGCATCCCAAGGGAGCTGTGTACCCTCTGATGGATCACCCAAGCACTGGGGAGTGGGAAGGGGCAGAGGAGCATCCTGCTACCCAGGTTGGGGACCCGGTCATATTATTCTGAAGCCAAATGGGGACTCATAGAGCAACCAGCACCTTCTTTTTGCAGAGGAAACTGCGCCCAGGGAAAGGGGCGTGGTTTCTGACTGTTGAATGGTGTTCTCCCATCTCTAACCCCATGGGCTGTCTCGGGATTTTTCTTCTCTTTTCTAAGGTCTCAGGAGAGCTCTTCCTGTAAATGCCTAAGGGTGTAGCTACTGGGCCACTCGGCACAGGGGTCTTGGCGTCTTAGCACATCCTTTAACAAACCTCTCTCCCTCAGGTTAGTCCACTCCCACTCCCCACTCCCTGGCAGAGTGGCTCTGTGTGGGGCAGTGGGTGCTGCACATGTGAGACCAGGACTTCCTGGGTCCCTCCCAAAGGCTCCTGACCTCCCGCAGGCAGGTAGGACCGGAGCCACAGGCGCCCGGAGCTCGCTGGGTGGTGGGGACGCACTCACCTGGCCCCCTTCGCGGCGCTGGAGTCGCCGGGCTGCCAGAGCTCTCTGAGTCCCTGGATCCAGGTTAAGTCCAAGACCCAGCCTCCCTCCCGGCCGCCCAGGGGGGCGTGTTCCGGGCGGCTTCCGGGTCCGGCCACGCGCGGGCGTCGCCCGGGAGGGAGGCGCCGAGATGCGGTCTGCAGCGCCCCCCCCACCCCTGACCCGGGCCGAACGCCAACTCCCAGGGCTGGCCAGCGGGTACTCACCATGCGGATCTGGGTGCTGATGAGCAGGTAGGGCATGGTGCGCGCGTCCCGGTCAGGATCTCTCCCTAGACTTTGGGCCCGGCGCAGACGCCAGCCCCTCGGGCTCCGGGACTGCGACCGGCCACCTGGAGTCCAGTTACTCCTGCTCTGGCCTCCGGCTGCGCCAATCCAGCAGCTCCTGGCCCGTTACCGCCTCGGCCGGCCAATCAGGAGCTGGCGCCCGTGACACGCCCCGGAGCTCGGCGATTCGAGACCCGCCCCCAGCGGTAGGGCAGCGCCCTGAGACCCTTGGTTTCCGCCGACGCTTCCGCGGGTCGTCCGGAGGCGAGGCGGGATCTGTGTTGGGCGCGGGCGAGGGCGGGGTGTCGCTCCCCCAGCCCCGGACCGGAGGCCGGGGTGGCCCGCCGGGCTCTGCCGGCTGCGGCGGGCCGTGGCGCCCTGCGCGCGTGTTGACTTTGCGCCCTGTTACTGCAACACCTTCGGTAACAGATTCCAAAGTCCTCCTGGTCCCCGCCCCCTTCCCTGTGAATCAGAGCAGGGTGCAAACGGCTACCCCACTGAGGCCTCCCAAGCTCCTGCCCACCCCACCCGCGGAAGGCCTCTAAAATGTTTAGCGGATCCCCACTTCCCGGCCCCGAGACACGTTCTCCAGAGATTCCTTCAGCGCGCGGGAGACAGGCAGGAGACCCCTCGGGTGCACTGCGCTTTCCCGCCTTCCCGACCGTAATTCCTAGTACAGCGGCGGAACCGTGCATTTCTGTGGCCTTGTAGGTAAATCTGTAAAGGAACTGAGCGCTTGGCTGAGTGCCAGGCCTGGAGACTTAAACCAACGGAATCTGGCCGTCGGTTCAGAGAGTTTCCGGCGAAGCTGGAGAGACTCAGCGCACGTGTAAGAGCTCACAAGGCAACACCTGGGGGCAAAAGAAACTTCTGCGCACCAGCCACCAAAGAGAGTGCAGCGAGTTCACCTCCACGCGTCCACGCCTTCATCTGAATGTATCAAAGTCTGACAACTGAACATTCTTTATCTGCCTTGTTGTGATTGGTTCTTTAAAAAGAAAGCAAGACAGTGGGATGAATTGGGAGACTGGGATTGACATACATACATTAATATGTATAAAATAGATAACTAACAAGAACGTGCTATTTAGCACAGGGAACTTCAATGTACAGTAGAAACTAACACAACATTGTAAAACAACTATACCCCAATAAAAAAATAAAATACTTGGAGCAAAAAAATAAACGAAAAAGATAAAGAAAGCAAAAGAAAGCCAGCTTGTAACCTTCCCTCCCAGGCTCTTGAAAAATCTTCACTTCACTGAAGGGTACGCTCTGTGCCTCCAGCACTTTGACCCATGTGGAGAAAGGTATAAGGGAAATAGGAAGTTGTAATCCTAAAGGATCCTTACTGGTCTAATTTATTTTTCTGTACTCTCTATCCCTATCCTCAACCTCCAGGACTAACAGTTTAGCTAGAGAGATAAGACATGTTCAAGATTAACAAAGGATTTGTTAAACTGACAAACGATTAATGCCCAGGACATATGAAGAACTCTTACAAATTAGGGAGAAAAAGATAAATCAATAGAAGAAACATGGGCAAATGACTCAAATAGGCACTTTTCAAAAGAGAGAGTGGAGATGGCCAATAAACTTATAACATGATGTTCAATATCATTAGAAATCCCAGAAATGCATATTAAACCAGTGAGATACTGCTTTACAGATTTGCAAAAAATAAAAATGTGTAAGCATCGTGTATTGGTGAAGATGTCTAACAATTGAAACATTACTGTTGGGATTGCAGATTGTTATGACTGATACGATCACCTTGGAAAACAATTCGGCATCGTCTAGTAAAGCTTAAGACATGCATCACTGTGACCCACCAAACCTCTCCTAGATAAACCTAGGAGAACTCACTGACCGCATCAGGATACACATACAAGAATATTAAAAAAAAAGAATATTCATAATAGCACTGTTTGTAACAAGCAAAAAACTGGAAACAGACTTTATGGCCAACAAAAGTGGAGTTTTTGGTTGATTCATACAATGGAAACTATAGCAACGAAAATGCTGAATGAAAAAGCAAATCTTGGAAAAATACAGAATAATTCTATTTACCTAAAGCTCACAAACATGCAAAATTAAACAGTATATGGTTCGGAGATAAAGACATGCGTGGTCAGATTTAAAAGAAAAGGAAATGATAAATGTAATATTCAGGGGAGTGGTTACCTCTGAGAAAAGGGAAAGGGATGGAGTGGAGACAGACATGCAGGGTTTTGGGTTTTTTTTGATTGGAGTATAATTGCTTTACAATGTTGTGTTAGTTTCTGCTGCACAGTGAAGTGAATCAGCCATATGCATACACACATCCCCTCCCTCTTGGACCTCCCTCCCCCCACATCCCACCCAAGTAGACCATCACAGAGCACCGAGCTGAGCTGCCTCTGCTATACAGCAGATTCCCACTAGCTAGCTATTTTACACATGGTAGTGTATTTGTGTCAAACCTAATCTTCCAATTCATCCCACCCTCCCCTTCCCCACCCACCGTGTCCACACGTCCGTTCTCTACGTCTGCCTTTCTATTCCTGCTCTGTAAATAGGTGCGTCTGTACCATTTTTCTAGATTCCACATATATGCGTTAATATATATTTGTTTTTCTCTTTCTGACTTACTTCACTCTGTATGACAGACTCTAGGTCCATCCACATCTCTACAAATGACTCAATTTCATTTCTTTCTATGCCTGAGTAGTATTCCATTATATATATGTACCACATCTTCTTTATCCATTCATCTGTCAATGGACACTTACGTTGCTTCCATGTCCTGGCTATTGTAAATAGAGCTCCAATGAACATTGGGGTGCATGTGTCTTTTTGAATTATGGTTTTCTCAGGGTATATGCCCAGTAGTGGGATTGCTGGGTCATATGGTAGTTCTATTTTTAGTTTTTTAAGGAACCTCCATACTGTTCTCCACAGTGGCTGTAACAATTTATATTCCTACCATCAGTGTAAGAGGGTTCCCTTTTCTCCACACCCTCTCCAGCATTTATTGTTTGTAGGGTTTTTTTTTCATAAATGAGTTTTTTTATTCAAACAATATAATTGCTTAAACAGAAAACTCAAGATAAACTCAATGTACAAGAATACAGGTACAAAAATTACAGAATTATTTATAATAGCAAAAAGAAATTTAGAAACAACTTATATAATACTCAAAAGGTATTTGCTAACCACAATCATAATAAACTCACTCATTAGACAATTATACATTATTGAAAATTAAATATGGATGCTTTTCCTAATCTTGAGCAAAAAATAAATAAGTTGCTGAAGAATCCAGATAGTATGCTCCCGTGTATATAAAATGGAAAAATATGAAAATTGACATGTTTTTAGTTGATATGTACATGTGTAATAAACTTATGAATGGGAACATAAAAAACAAAATTCAGGGCAGTGGTTACATCTAGGAGGGGGTATAAAGAGTAAGGATGGCAAGATCATGGAAGGTTACGCAGGGAACTTAAATAGTACTGGTACTTTTTTTTTTGTTTGTTTGTTTTGCGGTACGCGGGCCTCTCACTGTTGTGGCCTCTCCCACTGCAGAGCACAGGCTCCAGACGCGCAGGCTCAGTGGCCATGGCTCATGGGCCCAGCTGCTCCGCGGCATGTGGGATCCTCCCGGACCGGGGCACAAACCCGTGTCCCCTGCATCGGCAGGCGGACTCTCAACCACTGCGCCACCAGGGAAGCCTCTTTAATCCATTTTGAGTTTATTTTTGTGTATGGTGTTAGGTAGTGTTCTAATTTCATTATTTTACATGTAGTTGCCCAGTTTTCCCAGCACCATTTATTGAAGAGACTGTCTTGTCTTCATTGTATATTCTTGCCTCCTTTGTCATAGATTAGGTGACCATAGGTACGTGGGTTTATCTCTGGGCTTTCTATCCTGTACCGTTGATTTATATTTCTGTTTTTGTGCCAGTACCATATTGTCTTGATTACTGTAGCTTTGTAGTATAGTCTGAAGTCAGGGAGCCTGATTCATCCAGCTTCGTTTTTCTTTCGCTAGATTGCTTTGGCTATTCGGGGTCTTTTGTGTTTCCATACAAATTGTATAATTTTTTGTTCTAATTCTGTGAAAAATGCCATTGGTAATTTGATAGGGATTGCATTGAACTTGTAGATTGCTTTGGGTAGTATAGTCATTTTCACAATATTGGTCCTTCCAATCCAGGAACATGGTATCTCTCCATCTGTTTCTGTCATCTTTGATTTCTTTCATCAGTGTTTTATAGTTTTCTGAGTACAGGTCTTTTGCCTCCTTAGGTAGGTTTATTCCTAGGTATTTCATTCTTTTTGTTGTGCTGGTAAATGGGATTGTTTCCTTAATTTCTCTTTCTGATCTTTGGTTGTTAATGTATAGGAATGCAAGAGATTTCTGTGCATTAATTTTGTATCCTGCAACCTTACCCAATTCATTGATTAGTTCTAGTAGTTTTCTGGCAGCATCTTTAGGATTTTCTATGTATGGTATCATGTCATCTGCAAATAGTGAGTTTTACTTTTTCTATCCCAATATGTATTCCTTTTATTTCTTTTTCTTCTCTGATTGCCATGGCTAGGACTTCCAATACTATGTTGAATAATAGTGGCGAGAGTGGACATTCTTGTCTTGTTCCTGATCTTAGAGGAAATGCTTTCAGTTTTTCACCATTGAGAATGATGTTTGCTGTGGGTTTGTTGTATGTGGCCTTTATTATGTTGAGGTAGGTTCCCTCTATGCCCACTTTCTGGAGAGTTTTTATTATAAATTGGTGTTGAATTTTGTCAAAAGCTTTTTCTGCATCTATTGAGATGATCATATGGTTTTTATTCTTTTTAAAATTATTTATTTATTTATTTATGGCTGCATTGGGTTATCGTTGCTGCAGGTGGGCTTTCTCTAGTTGTGGCGAGCGGGGGCTCCTCTTCGTTGTGGTGCGTGGGCTTCTCTCACTGAGGTGGCTTCTCTTGTTGTGGAGCACAGGCTCTAGGTGCGCAGGCCTCAGCAGTTGTGGTGCACGGTCTCAGAAGTTGCAGAGTCACTGGCTCTAGAGCACAGGCGTCGCTGGCTCTAGAGCACAGGCTCAGTAGTTGTAGCGCACAGGCTTAGTTGCTCCACAGCAACTAATGTGGGGTCTTCCCAGACCAGGGCTCGAACCCGTGTCCCCTGCATTGGCAGGTGGACTCCAAACCACTGCGCCACCAGGGAAGCCCCTGGTTTTTATTCTTTAATTTGTGAATATGGTAAACAGACCAATCACAGGTAATGAAATTGAAACTGTAATTAAACATCTTCCAGCAAACAAAAGTCCAGGACCAGATGGCTTCACAGGCGAATTCTATCGAAATTTAGAGAAGAGTTAACACCTATCCTTCTCAAACTCTT